CCCAAGGGGACAGCTTGAGGCTCTGTCTCAAAAAAAAAAAAAAGAAAATTATGAAATCCTAAGAAAGGAAATAGCAGAGGATATTAACAAATGGAAGAACATACCATGCTCATGGCTGGGAAGAATCAACATTGTTAAAATGTCTATACTTCCCAAAGCAATCTACCTAATTCAATGCCATCCCTATTAAAATACCAATATCTTACTTTCAAGATTTGGAAAAAATGATTCTGTGTTTTGTATGGAACCGAAAAAAAACCCCATGTAGCTAAGGCAATTCTTAGTAATAAAAACAAAGCTGGGGGCATCACCATACCAGATTTTAGGCTGTACTACAAAGCCATAGTGGTCAAGACAGCATGGTACTAGGAAATGAAACTAACATCTTACCATCACCTCATCTTCGATAAACCATACAAGAACATATCTTAGGGGAAAGACCTCATATTCAAGAAATGGTGCTGGGAGAACTAGATATCCACATGTAAAAGACTGAAACTGGACCCACACCTTTCTCCACTCACAAAAATTGATTCCAGATGGATAAAGGACTTAAATTTAAGGCATGAAACAATAAAATTCCTCAAAGAAAGTATAGGAAAAACACTGGAAGATATTGGTCGGGGGAAAGACTTCATGAAGAAGACTGCCGTGGCAATTGCAACAACAAAAATAAACAAATGGGAACTGATTAAATTGAAAAGCTTCTGTACAGCTATAGAGACAACAACCAACGCAAATAGACAACCTACACAATGGGAAAGGATATTTGCATATTTTGAATCACACAAAAGCTTGGTAACTAGGATCTATAGAGAACTCAAATTAATGCACATGAAAAAAGCCAACAATCCCATATATCAAATGGGCAAGAAAGATGAATAGAACCTTCTCTACAGAAGACAGACAAATGGCTAACATATGAAAAAATGCTCATCATCCCTAATTATTAGAGAAATGCAAATCAAAACCACCCTGAAATACCATCTAAACCCAGCGAGAATGGCCCACATCACAAAATCTAAAAACTGCAGATGCTGGTATGGATGTGCAGAGAAGGGAACACTTTTACCCTGCTGGTGGTACTGCAAACTAATACAATCTTTTTGGAAGGAAGTATGGAGAACCCTCAAAAGAACTCAAGCTAGACTTCCCATTTGATCCTGTAATCCCATTACTGGGCATCTACCCAGAAGGAAAAAAATCCTTTTATCATAAGGACACTTGCACTATACTGTTTATTGCAGCTCAATCTACAATCGCCAAAATGTGGAAACAGCCTATATGTCCACCAACCCAAGAATGGATGAACAAGCTGTGGTATATGTATACCATGGTATACTATTCAGCCACTAAAAAAATGGAGACTTTATAGCCTTTGTATTAACATGGATGGAAGTGGAACATATTATTCTTAGTAAAGCATCACAAGAATGGAGAAACGTGAATCCTATGTACTCAATTTTGATATGAGGACAATTAATGACAATTAATGACACAGTGGGGGTAGGAGAAGGGGAGAGCAGAGAGTGGAAGAAAGAGGGAGGAGTAGAGAAGGGAACAGCAGAGAGAGGGAAGGAGGGAGGGGAGTGAGGTCTTGGTGTGTGCCACACCTTTGGGGGCAAGACACAATTATAAGAGGGACTTTACCTAACAAACGCAATCAGTGAAACCTTTTTTCTTGTACCTTCAATGAATCCCCAACAATAAATTTTAAAAAATTATATATATATATGTAGCTTTCCTAGGCTCCTCCCACATTAGTTTAAATTAAATAAGCCAGTTCAAATTTACCTTTCAGGCTCGGTGCCTGCAGCTCAAGTGGCTAAGGCACCAGGCACATAAACCAGAGCTGGTGGATTAGAATCCAGCCCAGGCCTGCCAAACAATAATGACAACTGCAACCAAAAAACAGCCAGGCGTTGTTGTGGTGGGTGCCTCTAGTCCCAGCTACTTGGGAGGCTGAGGCAAGAGAATCACTTAAGTCCAGGAGTTGGAGGTTGCTGTGAGCTGTGATGTCATAGCACTTTACACAGGGTGACAGCTTGAGATTCTGTCTCAAAAAAAAAAAAAACAAAAAACAAAAATTTACCTTTTAATGATCTCTTCTTCCTATTATTGTGTTCTTACCTGAGCTGCTCGATTTTCTCTGGAGTAATAGGACTATTGCCCAAGACTCGGTTTATCTCTGTATATAGTTTTTGTTGAACTTCTTCACAGGTTGTTAAAAAAAGGATTGCCCAGGTACACACTAGATAAAAAATTATATTAGTAACAACGAAAATAGCTGAGGGCTTGAGTATAGAATAAAACAATGGCTTGGAGTAGATTTTTACTATGTATATTTTTCTTCTGATATAAGATACATAAATGCTACCACAAAGTAAAATAAAAATTCTTCACAGGATTTGAATTTTATTGAATAGAACACGAATATTTACAGAATGCTGCCCAAAAGACCATGGAATTTGGAGGTTTTCTTTTTTTAAAAAGGCAAGTAAAATTGAAGCCACTTAATCCATTTTATCTTAAGTAAAACTAAGTTAAAATAATAAATAAAATTCATTATCTGTGGAAGTATTTAATGTTAGTGATTGTGATGGATTATCTGGTTCATGCAACCTTGTAAAATAAAAAAAAAAACTGACTTATCAGTTCACATAGGAACACTAATGAAATGATTCCTAAAAATCAAAGCAGCAAGAGATTTATTTATAAGTCAATATTCTGATTTTTTTTTACTAATAATAAAGACAATGGTTCAAAACTATGACTGGTTATTGTAGAAGATCATAGTTCTCCCACGTGGGAACTGGCTGATACTACAACTGACAACCTCAGATTGTGATTGGCACATTTGGGGTATGGTGAGGCATTAATATTTTTTTTTTTTTGAGACAATCTCACTATGTCACCCTCTGTAGAATGCTGTACTGTCATAGCTCATAGCGACCTCAAACTCTCGGGCTCAAGTGATTCTCTTGCCTCAGCTTCCTGAGTAGCCCACAACACCTGGATTTTTTTTTTTGCAGTTTTTGGCCAGGGCTGGGTTTGAACCCCCCACCTCCGGTGTATGGGGGTCAGTGCCCTACTCCTTTGAGCCACAGGCACTGCCCCACACCTAGCTATTTTTGTTTTAGCAGGCCTATGCTTTTTCACTATGGCTTTTGAGTGGAATAGAATTTCTATTTCACAAGAGTGTGAACAGCATCTTGAATAGCATACAACATGCATGTGACACAATTTTATAACAGACAATACTATGTACCCGAAGGATTTATTACAAGGATTTGCATAATCATATACACTACTTGACTATATAATCACTTAAAATTAATATAATTATGTAAGCTTAATACTTTCAAATATTGGTTCTTTCATAGACCTCTCTTAAAAAGGATAAGTGGGCTTGGTGCCTGTGGCTCAAGTGGCTAAGGCGCCAGCCACATACACCTAAGGTGGCAGGTTTGAATCCAGCCCGGGCCCGCCAAACAACAATGACAGCTGCAACCAAAAAAATAGCCCGGGGTTGTGGTGGGCCCCTGTGGTCCCAGCTACTGGGAGGCTGAGGCAAGAGACTTGCTTGAGCCCAGGAGTTGGAAGTTACTGTGAGCTGTGATGCCATGGCATTCTACCCAAGGGGACAGCTTGAGGCTCTGTCTCAAAAAAAAAAAGGATAACTGGATAACTGGATATAGCTTTAAAATGTTATTTTAAGCTATAATACAATACTAAATCAGACATAATTTCATGGAGGTCATCTAGAAGTAAAACCTTCTTTTAGAAAAGGAAAAAATGCAGAAATAAGTATCTTGGCCAAGGCAAATAAATGGCAAAATAAGGACTTTAATTAAGGTTTCTTGCCTAACTTCTCTCTCAAGAGCTTCATAAATGGGCTGGCATGGTGGCTCATGCCTGTAATCCTCACACTTTAGGACGCCAAGGTGGGTAAATCACTGGAGCTCAGGAGTTCAAGATGAGCAAGAGCAAGACACTATTTCTACCAAAAACAAAAGCTAGCCAGGAGGCCAAGTGAGGTGGCGCATGGCTCTAATCCTAGCACTTTGGGAAGCTGAGGCAGGTGGACTGCCTGAGCTTACAGGTTTGAGACCAGCCTGAGCTAAAGTGAGACCTCATTTCTAAAAAAATAGCTGGTTGGATGATGCTCATAGCTCAGTGGATAGGCAGGCATATACATACACCGAGGCAGGCAGGTTCGAACCCGGCCATGGCCTCCTAAACAATGACAACTGCAACAAAAGAAAACAGCCAGACCTTATGGCAGGCACCTATAGTCCCAGCTACCTGGGAGGCTGAGACAAGAGAATTGCTTACACCTAAGAGTTAGAGATGGCTGTGATCTATAATGCCACAGCACTCTACTGAGGGTGACATATTGAGACTCTGTAAGACTCTGCTTTAAAAAAAGTAAAAAAAATGGCTCGGGGCCTATAGCTCAACCGGCT